TACAACCTGGCTAGAAGGCGTAGAGGTATACAATGCCAGGTATTCAGGGAACAGAAAGAGAAGGAAGATATAGAGAGACGAGAAACTGAGCAATGAAGAAAGACAAAAAGGGAAAAAGAGGGAAAAGAAAACAAAACAAACAAAAAAAAAAAGAAGAAGAAGAAAGGCCCCCCAAAAAACAAAACAAAACAAAAAACCCAAGAATAAAAGAAATGTCCTCAGGGATCCCTCTGCATGTCTGTGCAAGCCGAGGAGGAAGTCTCCTCGCCACGCAGCACCGCCTGGCAAGAAAGGGCTCCCAATTCAAGAAAAGGAAAAGAAAACAAACAATTCAAAGCAAACAAACGAACAAAAGCCCTGGGAACCCACCAGTGTGGCAGCCCAGACCGGGCAGCAGCTCCACACTCGAACGGAGCTCCACAGCCCCTCAGGAAGAAGGAGAGATGGCGCACGGAGCCAGGTATTTGAGCGAAAGGAGGGGGAGGTGGTGAGAGGTAAGGAAGAAATCAAAAAAAGCAGGAAAAAAAGCAACACTAGCAGCCAACAAATGGCACTCAGAAAGCCAGCTAGTGCGGGCTGGTGTTTCTCGGACAAGAGATTGTGTCCACGGGAAGCAGGTGGGGCCAAGTGTGGGTGAAGAAGGGTAGGGAATGGGAAAGTGTATATCACAAATTACCGGAGCTCTGCATCCCCTCAGGAAGAAGCAAAGATGGCACATGGAGCCAAGTGTTTGAGCAAAAGGAGGGGAATGTGGTGAGAGGTAAGGAAAAAATCAAAAGAGTGGAAGAAAGCAACACCAGCAGCCAACAAATGGCACTCAGAGAGCCGGCCCATTTGGGTGTGTGGAATCCAAGCAGCTGGTGTTTCCTGGTCAAGAGACTGTGGCCATGGGAAGCAGAGGAGGCCGATTCTGGGTGAGAAAGTGTGGGGGCTGGGAAAGCGTATATCACAAATTACCAGTTGTTTTGTCTCCCTTTGCTGGTCTCAGATAGGAGTCCAAGATGGCGGATCCGCACTGCATTAGCTGGTAGGGGACCTCTGCATGAATCTCTCCTTGCTGTCCGTTCTCTGTCAGTTTTCTCACTCCATTTGGTGCTTGGCTGAGTTCTTTATCTCTTCATTTGATGTTTTAGGGTTTCAGGATTGTTGTAGTCTCTGTTCGGCTTAGTTTTTCAGATCTTTGCTTAGTTTTTTGGACAGCGTGGTGCTTTTACCTAGAGCGCCATTTTGCCGGAACTCTCATTTTGACCTTTTTAAGAAGAAAGGTTAGATCTTACAATCTTCTGGAGTTAGATCATACTCTCTCTCCTGTCCCATGTTTAAATGAGACATATTAACCTGGACTACTCGGAGGACATTTCTTTGGAGACAGGAGTAGCCTATGATATGTTTCCCAGTTTCACGGCTTGAGGACTCCCTGTTGTTATTAGGAAGGGCTCAAAATATGGCCACTTCTCTGCTTATCAGAGCTAAGCCTGGCTCAGGAAAGTTTTTCTGCTCTATTTCCTAGAAACCTACGGGTCTTTCTTGCTGTTACGGATTGAATTGTGTCCCCCCAAAATTTTTGTCAACTTGACTAGGCCACAATTCCCAGTATTGTATGGTTGTCCACCATTTTGTTATCTGATGTGATTGTGCTACTTGCTGTAAATCCTAACCTCTATGATGTTAACGAGGCAGGACTGAATTCATAGGATTAGGTTGTATTTTGAGTCAATCTCTCTTGAGATATAAAAGAGAGAATCCAGCAGAGAGGAGACAGACCTCCTACCACCAAGAAAGCAGAGCCGAGAGCAGAGTTCATCCTTTGGGGTTCCTGGGCTGAGAAGCTCCTAGACCAGGGGAAGACTGATGACAAGATCTTCCCCCAGAGCTGACAGAAAGCTTTCTCCTAGAGCTGATGTGCTAAATTCGGACTACTAGTCTCCTAAACTGTGAGAGAATAAACTTCTGTTATTGTGGTATTTTGGTTATAGCAGCACTAGATAACTAAGACACTTGCCAAGGTGTTAACTCTCACCTTAGCTATTTTATTTTACTGTTACAATACTTTCTGGGTCCTGCTTCAACTAGGACCTTCCCCTGGCCCCAACTAGTTGAAGTTTCTCTTTCTTTTACCTCCAGTGTTACTACCTTGCTGAGTCTGGTTTCTCAACCTTGTAGTTTTCTTTTTGGGCAAGGCTTTGCCCTTATGGAAGGAAATATTTACTAGATATTTCTGAAATCCTTGATGGCTTAGATGATCATAACACTATTTGTTTTCTTGGTACTTCTGTGCAGATTTTGCACTCACCCACAACTCAGAACCTGTGATGACTTCTTCTAGTTTTGTGGTTCTTCTTAGACCTATTTGTCCAGTTTGATTCAGGGATAAATGATGGCTTGGAACAGGGGGTAGCAATGAAGAGAGAGAAAATTGAATAATAGGAGAGAGAATTTGGTGACATAACCAGGAGGAATTACTGATGGGTCTAATGTAGAAGAGGCGGGGTCAAGAATGGTTTTTGGCTTGAACAACTGACTTGATGTTGCAATTTACAGTGATGGGGAAGAATGGGCAAAGAATCACTAGTGTCGAGGGAAGCAAGTGCTGTATTGGGGTTCTAAGTAGAAATATACATGAAGACAGTTAGATATGAGTCTACAACTCGGGGAAGGTCTAGTCAAGAAATAGAAATCTGGAGGTCATCAGCACGTACGTAAATTTAAAGCTTTGGGCCTGGATGAGTTCATTTATGATATGAGATTAGAAAGAGGAGTTGTCTAGGACTGGACCCTGATGCACTCTACACTCATTTAAAGTTTTGGGGAGGAGGAACCAGTAAAGGAGACCATGAGGAAGAGGACCTACTGATGTGGGGAAAATCAGGAAAATGTGGTGCAATGGAAGCCAAGAGAGAAGCATTTTAAGGAAGAGGTAACTGATCAATCAGATTGAAGATGCTGAGAGGCTGGATTGAATGCAAACAAAAAAGCATCCATTGGACTTGACAAAATGGAGGTCATTGGAGACCTTAACAAGAGCAACTTCAGAGGAATGGTAGGGACAGAAACCAGATTAGAGTAGGTCAAGGAGAAAATGGGAGGTGAGAAATTGTAGACAGCTAGTGTAGACAAGTTTTGTTGTGAAAGGAAACAGACAACTTAAAGAGGATGTAGGGGTCAAGGGAGCCACTGTTTTTTTGAAAAGGAGACAGAAGCATATTTGCATACTGATGGAACAATTTGGTCTTCCTCCCTGATTCCTGGGAGGTAACTTCTAAATCCTTGGAATTTCCTGAGTGACTAAGTGTCTTTGTTATCTTTGAAGGCTCCAGACTACACCTAAGGGTTTATGCTAACGAGGCACCTGATATTGGGTGGGTGGGAAGACCCTAGAAAGACCCACCACATGACATCAGTCTGACCTCAGGGGAGAATATCTGGAAGTTGAGTTCAACCACAAAGGCAATGATTCAGTCATACCTACATAATGAAACCCCAATAAAAACTCAGGACACTGAAATTCAGGAGACCTTCTTGGTTGGTGTTAAGACACTGAAGCACAGGAGGGTAACAGGTCTTTGGGACACGGAAGCTCTGCATCTGAGATCCTCCTGGACCTCACCCTGTGCATCTCTTCTTTACGCTGGTCCTAATTTGTATCCTTTATAATAAAATTGTAATCACAGGTATAGCACATTCTTGGGTTCTGTGAGTCATTCTAGCAAATTATCAAACCCAAAGGGGCAGTGGGAACTCTCAAATTTGCAGCCAGGTCAGAAATGAGAGTGTGTGGAGCCCCCCAAACTTGCAGCTGGTGTCTGAAGATTCAGGCCAACTTGACAGTCTGGAGGACTGTGCCCTTTAACTTGTGTGATCTGACCTGACTCCAGGTGATTAGAGTCCGAAGAACTGCACTTGGAGCCGGTGTCAGAGAAGATATTTAGAGTTGGTGCTGGAAAAGACAGACACTTAAATATGTAAGAAAAAGACTGTAGACAGCAGAGTTTATATATTACACAATCTTGTTATCAAAGACATTTTAGAGGTCAGGTCTTCTGGTCAAATTTGATAGAGGAAAATAAAGTTAAATGACTTTCCCAGTCACATAGCAACTTGACAGCATAGCTGATAACAGAACTCTGGGATTCAGATTCCAGGCTGTTACTCTTTGTACAACACAATAACCAGTTGCCATTGAGCCAATTCTGACTCATGGTGACCCCATGTTTGTCACAGTAGAGCTGTGGTCCATAGGGTTTTCAATGGTTGAATTTTCAGAAGATTACCAGGCCTTTCTTCTGAAGTGTGTCTGGGTGGACTGAAACCTCCAAACTTTCAGTTACCAGCTGAGCTTGTTGATTGTTTTTTACCACCCAGGGATTCCTACAACACAACAGTGATGCTCAAATACTTGATGTGCTTATCATAACAAAAGTGGGACTATCAGAATGAAAAAATGGTCAGGACAAAGCAATCTAATGGAATTTCATCTCTCATAAATTCCTCCCTCTTCACTTCCAACTATTTGGAAAAATTGTAGTCAGTCATAGATTTCTATCCTAAAAACTGCGTTCAAATCTGAATCAGTGAGATATAGCAGATAATGAATTATTACAACTTTTGAAGTCTGACCTACCGAAAATGTCTTGCCTCTTAAGTACAAACTGCTTAGTTATTGGTCTCCCACTCCCAAAATAAAATCACCATTGGATGGGAACAGATCATTGACAAAGAACAACAACACGTGGAAATTAGAACACTTTATTATAAACATTTCCAGAATATAAGCTGATTTTGCATCAGGACTCTTTGAAAACTTTTAAAACCATATTTAACCCAAGCTTATTATTATAATGCATTTCATTTTCCAATTTCCAACCGAGGAAATACACAGCAAGTTTGAGCTAACAAAGAAAATAATCTTCTAAATTGCTTCATAAAGAAAACCAACAAACTTAAAAGCATCCCACTAAGAGCAAAGCAAACCCAACCAAGAAACAGATTCTGCAAAGCCTATTAATCCTCCAGTTTAAAACAAGTGATCTCCCAAGGGAAAATAACTCCACTATCAACAGCAATTTGATGAATAAAAAGCAGAGCCATTCTCACTAAGGGAGGTTACATTATATGTAAGAAAATGTAATGCTGCTTTTACAAAGTAAGGAAAAGTAACTTCTGTGTTGGAGAATAAGCATACTAAATACTTTCCATTCAGGTGGCCTTTGTTAAGAGGTTAAAGTACCTGTTCATATAAGAAAAGTGATATAAACATGAATCTCATGAAACCAAACTACTCAACTATTTTTTTCAATTCAACCTCTGGAGAACCAACTAGACAGCCTCAAAATCCAAGGATAGACTGGTCCCACAGCATTTCCTCCTCTGTCCTCTCTTGGCCTTGATCCTTTTTCTCTTTTCTACGCTTACGTTCCTCTTTCTTAGAAGACACTTCTCGGCTTTTTTTCTCCTTTCGATTCTTAAGCTTTTCTGTACTGACACTGACTGCTTCCACCTCTGCTTTCTTTCTTTGGATGCTCTGGTGTTTGTCTAAATCCATTTCCTCACAACTTTTTTTCTTCTTATGCTTGGGCCGCTCCTCCTCTGGTTTTTCTCTGCCTTCCTCAGGGTGCCTTTTTCTCTTCTGATGTAGCTGTTTATGACTGGCTTGATGGGCACTGGTACTGTTTTCTGAGGAGAGGTGCTTGTAAACTGCAGATTCTCCACTGTATGAGCCACAATTATACTCTTGCTGACTAAGGTTCAGGGGTACTGGTTTTTCTGATGAATAGTCTGTGGTGAACTGACAATAGCTTGGAGAGCCTAGTCTCAGTCTGCTGTCATGAGCTGGTAGCCGCTGAGGTAACTGGTTTTCCAATGTTTGTGGAATATTGTATGACCCTGGGTAAGTCTGGACAGTCTCAGATGGGAGTCTTTGATCAGACATTCTATATTTGGGTCTGGAATCAACCTCTTCTTTATACCCAAAGGTTTCCAAATAGTCCTCTCTCATAGTTCTGAAACAAGTCTTTGGCTCTAAGCCTCTGGCTTTCTGAACTTTGATATAATCTTCAAGTTCATCTTGGAAAGAATTGTACGTCTTCTTTGAATGCTTCATTAGGTTGACAACAAGGGATTCTCTGTAAAGAAGATGGGGGAAAATTCTTAAGAGATTATTTTATTTTGAATCTTTTTCTCATTAAAAGAACTTCAAAAAACAAAAACAAAGAAGCTCAAACAAATTAAAAAACCAACTTCAGCATAGAAGTTAAATATCATGACACTATATGCCACAAAGGCACGTCAGGGATGGCTAAATATCCCCCAAGCCATTCACAAGTAATTTTATTCAAAACAAAAAACCTTCTCAGAGTAGATGAAAAGAGAGAGATGGGCAGAAAAGAGCTGACATAGTAGATACTGCTGTAGGGCTAAAAATGGAAGGCATGTAGGGATGTGTGGCTAGAACTACTCATCCATGGTGTGTCACCTATCTGAATGTTCACATAATTTCTAAAGTTCTTATTAATCAGTTCCTTGTATTTTGTTTTCTAAGGGAAATGACAGAACTGTAGAGAAGTAATCTGATCTTTAAAATCTTCAGTTTACTCAAGCAAAATAAAATTAATGTACATACTCACCCGACTAAAGTACTGTAAGGCTCAGTAATAACAGAATGTTTGTAAAATGGTTTGAAATGCTGGACAGAATTAGAGATTCAGCTATGAGATGAAAACTACACTTAGGTATAGGGCATGAGGGAAGATGAGGGAACAGAGTTCAGGATCTTCTGTATAGGGCTTGGATTTCATTCCCCTACTTCTGATTGGTGAAAAAGCATTCTAGAATGCCCACAGGTTGTTCTCTGCCTACTATGGAAGTAACGGTGACAGGGCTAAGGGACGAAATGGAGGTGAAAGCTGAGAGGGGGTAGGACTGATGTAGGGAAAAGTTTCAGAAGAAATTTAGATTAGATATACTAGAGTTTTTGTTTTGTTGTGTTTTTTTTTTTTTTTTTTTTTTGAGAGGGAGGGCTATTTCTGATTTTCTTTCCTCTACCTCAAATCCTGCATAAATACAAACACAGCAGAAAATGTGTTTACCATGAGATGGTAATGCTAGATATTTGTGGTGATCTATATTATCACCAAAATTAAGGAGGCAGCATAACCCAGGTCAAATGGGGTATTTCTCCTCTTTAACAGAAACACATTAAGCCTGACAGAATACTCATGTCACTAATGATCATTTATCTTTTCTGGAAACTTGAGATTAAAAAGAAATTCTAAATGAAGCCTAATTTGGTGAATCAGAAAATTTAGCTCCTTAACTAAAAAGTATCTACAATTCTGACTAGAATAAAATGATGTAACAGAAAGACTATGCTTCGATTAAATACAGGCAGAAGATGTGGACACTTCAGAAAAGAATATACACAAATGGCCAATACGCACATGAAAATATGCTCAGTATCATCAGTCATCAAGTAAATGTGAATTAAAACCACAATGAGATATCATCATGAACTCACTAGAATGACTGAAATTAAAGATTAAGAATACCAAGTGTTGGTGAGGATGTGGGAATGTAAAATGGTACAACCACTTGGCAAACAGTTTTGGCAGTTTCCTAACAAGTTAAACATACACCTTACCATGTGATCTAGTTATTCCACTCTCAGGTATTTACCCAAAGAGAAAAAGAAATATATGCTCATGCAAAGATTTGTACATGAACGTTCATAGCAGTTTTATTTAATAGCCCAGACTGTCCATCAGCAGATGAATGGATAAATCAAATTGTGGTATAGTTACACAATGGAATACTACCAGTGATAAAAAGGAATGAACTACTGATACAAGCTGGATGACTCTCAAAATAATTATGCTAAATGAAAGAAGCCTGACAAAAGAGTACATACTTTGTGATTTCATTTACATAAAACTCTAGAAAATGCAAACTAATTGACAGTGACAGTGGTTGCTTGGGGATAGGGGCAGGGAGCGGTGGGAGGGAGGAATTAAGGGCACAAGGAAACTTTTTGGGATGATGGATATGTTTGCTATCTTGACTGTGGTGATGATTTCATGGGTATATACATGAGAAGTGAAACCATATGTCCATACAAAAACTTGCACATGAATGTTCCTAGGACCATTAGTCATAATAGACAAAAAGTAGAAACAACCCAAATGTTCACCAAACTGATGAATAAATAAAATGTTATATATTCATACAATGGAATATTATTCAGCAATAAAAAGGAATGAAGTACTTATACATGCTATCCTATGGATGAACCTTGAAAATATTATGCCAAGTGAAAGAAGTCAGTCACAAAAGACCATGCATTTGTATGATTCCGTTTAGACAAAGCACCCAGAATAGGCAAATCTATAGAAACAAAAAGTAGACTGATTACCTAGGGCTGGGGGTAGGTGAGGGTGGAAGAGAAAATGGAGAGTGACTGCTAATGGGTATGGAGTTTCTTCTGGGGTAATAAACTTAGATTGTGGTGATGGTTACACAGCTCAGTGACTATTCTAAAAACCAATGGATTATACACACTTTAAATGGGCAAACTTTGTATGTCAATTACATCTTAATGAAGATGTTAAAAATATTTTTCAAAAGTCATTCTTGCTTCATTAAGAAAACAAATTTTAATGATGCTGCTCATGACATGGTTTCACTGGGTGATGCCACTTGGATTTGGAATGGGAAAAAAGGTAGCATGCCTGTTGGTGCACGTTCCATGCCAGACCTAATTTCCAAAGTGTCAAAGTTTGTAGCATTGTGGTAAATTATTGATTCAGAGCCATAATCATCTTAATATTTGTTCTAGCGCCGCACAAGCTTTAGGTTCTCCTCCTTTTTAAAAATATGAGTTGGATTTTCCAGGGTGCATCCTGCCATCTCAGGCTACACTGGGTCAGGTAACTCATGCACTCTGGTAATCCACCGTACTGGGAGGAGGGAAGGGGCAATGGCTTTTACTGCACTGTGTCCTTGGGATCAGGCACAAAGTAAGTAGTCAATGACTACTCATTGATGATGGTGGTACCCTTAAACAGAATGCTAAAAGGAGATCCACTCTTTTTAAAAATCTATAGTTATAGTCAGACAATATTATGATAAAGACAGTGATCCAGAAATGCATGAGATAATATGACAGAAAGTATTAAAGTGCAAAAGAACTGGGACAGTTGCCAAGCGGGGGTTGATTTTATGATCTGATTAGAAACAGACATATCTAAAGTTGATGGCTGTTGTTACTTTATAGTAGTATACTAAATCACTTAAGTTCAATTTAATAAACTGAAGACCAATAATCAAGTTATTGTCTCAAAGTGAAAGTTGCCCCAATACAAAATGGATGGCAGAGTTCAATAAAGAGATGAATGAAACCTTACCCTTATCAGGCTGAGACCTTGGTGGAGAAATGTGATCATATTTGCTCATTAACTGCTTCGGTTTTTCAGCTGAACTTCCCACACAGCGAGACTGTGCAATAACTGGGGAGCTAAAAATCATGATACAAAGATTATAAAATCATTTTTGTCTAATACTCCATTCCCATTCTCCTGAAATAAAGCACAGTTTTGTTACAGAGATTAAGTAACTCAATTTTAGAATTACAACAGCAACATAGAGCAATCATCCGAAAATTTACAAAATCCATTTTTATTTTCTTACCATCTTGTTTTCCCTACGTTTGAAAATAAAGCCTAATTTTTGAGCACATTTTTACCTTGGAAAAATAAATAATAATATTTTCTTTATTCAAGAACAAAAGTGACCTGAAATTTACACCCCTGCATTTGAAGGCGGCACTCCTGAGTTTTAACATATTTGGTCTGAACGAAGAGTTTAAGAATAGAGTTCTGGTTGCTTTCAAATTAAAGTATAAGCTTCATCAGAATAATGATACAGTTTAGAAGCTAGTGATTGTTATGTTCTTGTTTGTGACAGAAACTACCACCTACCTCCCAAGATGCTCTTCTTCTTCTTAACAAACCTTGGGCAACGTGCTCACTTAAAACACTCTATTTTCTAGCCATTCTTAAAGCAAGATGTGACCATGTGAATAAATCCTGGCCAGTAATTAGAAAGCTGAAGTGCTGGGTAGGACTTCCAGGAGGGTCTGGCTGCTGGAATGAAGATGCCATGGCTGGAGTTCAAACAATCGTCATGGAACATGAGGGGACCTTGAGGAAGGAAAATGCCTGGATCCCGTATGACATCATGGATCTGTCACAACAGCCTTGCACTGCATATCTCCAAACTTCTTTCAAGTGAGGGAATGAATAAACTCTTATGGGTTAAAGCTAATAATCTGAATAGATTTATAACCAACTACTAAGAATAACCAAGATGTTGGTGTAGGGAGGAGGGAAACTAACAATTATCTGAGGACAGTTATTAGAGATTTCTATTTTCTTGTATTTTTATGTATTTTCTACATTGAATACTACTTTATAATCCCATAAAAGTTATTTAAAAAACTTAAATGCATCTCAAGTTACAACAGAACCCCTTGCTTGTCTTTCACTAACCCGAGATCTTTGGGATCTGGGGAGTGACAGTGTACCAGGCACACTCACATATTTGATTTCACTTAATTCTCACAGCTATGGCAAGAGAACACCACTCCCATTCTACAAGCTGAAGAAACCTACTCAGAGAGGTAAAAGTGACTTCCCAGTGTTAAAGGTGAAGCTGAGACTTCAATCCAAGACCTCTCAATACAAGGTCAACACATGACTGTAATTACAGTACTTTAATCTCAACCACGTAAGAACTAAAATGCTCTTGCCAGTAAGATTAGTACTGGAAAAAACCAGATAAGCGTCTAAAACAGCACAGCTAGCATTATGTTTCATTTAAGTAAATGTAACTAGTACTTTTGTTATCCCGGATATCAAAGACGAAAGTGATCTAACAGCTCATCCAGGTCTCAGATTATGAAAAAAAGCACAGTGAGGAATCACTGCTCGTCTTTCTCTCAGGCAGCACCGTACAGGAATGACGCAGAAATGAGAGACAACATCATGTAAAGGGAAAGAACACTGGAGAGGGAATCAGATTTCACTCTTAGGTTCAGCCATGCCCATGACTAGCTAGGGAGAATTATTACTCCTCGGGATCTCAGTTTCTTCATCTATAAACCAAGGAAATAAGACCATTAGATATTTCCCCTCTAGCTCTAGCATTCTACAAGCCTATGTCTAAAAAATGGCTAAGTCAAGTATAAGAGCATTGAATACTGTGTTAATAGCCTTCAACTACTGTAAAAGAAGGATCTGAGGATCTACAATAGCCTGTGATTGCTAGTAATAATTTCCTGCTCAAGCTTCATCATGTCTCCCTTATACTTACTTACAAGGACCAAAGACGGAGCGGCCTTCGGGATACAGTGGAAGGCAGAATGGTGTGAAGAAAAGAAAACGAGCTTTGGAGTTAGAAAGACCTGAGTTTAAATCCTAATGTAAGTCAGCAAGTTATTTCCCTTCTCTGAGTTAGTCTTCTCCTCATCTATCTAAAGGACAACACTAAAAAAAAAAAAAAAAAAAAGATAATACCATCTCCTTCATAGGGTTCTTATAAGGATTAAATAAGATACATTTATGAACTTTACCTGCTACATTTAAAAAGCTGCTTTAAGACACATTCACTTTATTTTCAATCTATCTCATAATATAAAATCCTTTGTGATTCAAACTGTAGCACTACTCCACATATATACACCTTACAAAAGGTATCTGTAAAAAGTTCAATCTTTTTCATTCAACATGATATCTACAAATAAAACAGATACATCACATTAAGCATTTAAGGTAGCGTTTTCAATCTTCACCTAGATACCATTTTATACACCACCTCAAATCGGAAATTTCCTTAATTTGCTTGCAAGGCTACCGTAATAGCTTTTTGCTCATTAAGAATGGCAATTTAAAATGAAAACATTTAGTAAGCCACTAATATTTAATATGGCAATATATATTTATTTAGCATGATAAGCCCAGAAAACACCATCCTGAAGAAAAAGTTACTGGAGTACTATTAGGAGACTGACCTGGGAGACCAGTATTAAAAGGCTGAGCTAAGAAATCCAGCCTTGGCATTTTATGTTTTATAGCAGATAGTCTCAAGAAATGTGGTCTATTTTAAGATAGTCAACTGATTCTGGAAGATTAGTCCAAAGGACTAACAGACTGCAACTACCACAGCCTCCACCAGACTGAATCCAGCACAAGTACGTGGTGCCCGGCTACTATCGCCGACTGCTCTGACAGGGATCACAATAGAGGGTCCCAGACAGAGCTGGAGAAAAACGTAGAACAAAATTCTAACTCAAAAAAAAA